GGCCGGGAGGTCCGCGATGGAGGAGGGAAAAGGGGGGAGGGAAGAGAAGGCGGCGCCAGCGCCTGGGGAAGGAACCGGGTAAGGTCCTGGCCTGGGGAAAGGGGAGAGGGGACCCTGTCTAGGGTGCTTGGTAAGGGGGAGGGATACTGAGGGCGCAGCGCGGGATGGTGCGGGCGGGGTGTCGGGGTGGGGAGCGTGCTGGAGAGGGGACCCAGAGCATGGGGGGGGGGGGAGTCCTAATTCTTCATTTCCAACTAGTCCTATTTTTTAAGGTAGCGCTGAGGCTCAGTCCCTCACACCGGGCACCCCAAACTTCTGATGTCTGGGCTTAACTGTCCTGCTCCCCATACAGATTCTCCAGCTCCTCCCTCTCCCCAGCTGGTCAGAAACCACTCAGGTGGGTCCTTTTGGTGATGGGACCAGCCAGGTGTCCTGTGATGCAAATGAATTATTCCTTGCACTTGTGGACGGAAGGGGCCACATGCTAACCTGACGAGCTCAGGGAAGGCCTGCGTGGCGGTCTTGCAAACTCAAAGACCTAAAGTAACCGCAAAGGATGGTCTGAAATTAAACTTTAACTAAAAGCAGTTATGGTGGGTAGTTACATCCTAGGCTGGTATCTTCACTGACAAGTCCAACCTTTACCTTAACTGAGCCTATCTGTCTTTTGGCATCTATAATAACATACCCTTGAAATGTCTGGGTAACTTGTAACTTCCCTTTTTCTGGACCTCTTGGGGCACAACCTCATGTGCTGGGCACCAGGACAGATACCACAAATTCCTTCATTATCATATTAATTGTTCCTGCACACAACTAAGCATGTGTCTATCATTTTACTTTTTATCGTTCCTGCACCCACCTAAGTATGTGTCCATCATTTTACTTTTTATCGCCCCCCCACCCCCCTGCTTCGCTGCTTAATCCCACCTCCTTAAATCTGTCACCAAGGATTGCAATATATAAATGCAGATGTAACCCGCCAATCTCCGGAGCATTACCTCAATTCGTTGAGGTTCTGCTTCCGGGCATATGTCGATAGTTCGGCTCAAATAAACTCACAAAAATTCTTTACAGGTTTCAATGGTTTTTTGTTTTTTTATGTGAACACACTCTTCACAACTCTTATGAAGTAGGTGCAATTATCCCCGTGTAACAGATGAGGCAGTGGAGCCACAGAAATGTAACTATCAGAAGACACACATCTAGGGAGGGGAGAAGCTGAGATTCGTCCTTGTGGCAGCTCCAAAGCTCTCCCACTGGACCAGGTCACCTGTGAAGCCCAGAGAGCTGAGGCCTCACAGCATCTTGACCCACCCGCAACCCCCAGAGTGGTCAGGAATGGCTTTGCCCCCCCCACCTTTGTATGAGGTGCTAAGGACCACATTCCAGAACACTGGGGTGCCCAGAGGCTGGGGATCCAGGGCTGGCTTTCTCCTCTCTGCCCCCACCTCCTCATTGGGTGAGGCAATGTCAGTGTGCTCCTCAGTCTGTAGTCTTTCCTTTGGGGGAAGGCTGGCCTGGACTCCTTCCCCCACCTCACCCCTCCCTGCAGGCTAAAGGAGGGTCCCCCGCACCCATGGCCCACTCTCTTGACAGGAGTGTCCCTCGCCTCCACTTTCTGCCTGTGCAGAGCCGCCCAATTAGCCAGGGGTGAGAATGCGCTGGGCCTTTGCAAGTATTTCCTCAACATACGCTCAGCTCAGTCTGAGCGGCCTTTTAGATTCCCTGAAATGTGTAGGAACTTTCAAAGTCTGTGTAGGCATCTTATTTCCTAGCTTTTCCTTTTAGGTTTCTGTTAGTGTATTGTTTATCCCAGTGGTCGGCAAACGCATTAGTCACCAGAGCCAAATATCAACAGTACAACGACTGAAATTTCTTCTGAGAGCCAAATTTTTTAAACTTCAACTATACAGGTAGGTACATTGTTATTAACATACTCAGGGTACTCCTAAGCTGGCCTTTGCTAAAAACGTCGGTATCCCATGGCCCGCTTGCACTGCATCTCCCATTGCCCGCCCTAGGACCGACACCCCCTCACTTCTTCTAACGCCACTTCTTCAAAATAGACTCGCCCAGGCCGAAAACCGACTTCTGCGCATGGGCCATAAAGTTTCAATCACACTGTATGTGCGCGCCCGCACGTGGTATTTTGTGGAAGAGTCACACTCAAGGGGCCAAAGAGCTGCATGTGGCTCCTGAGCCACGGTTTGCCGACCACTGGTTTTTCCCAATATTACCTACTGTCTCAGGCAGCCACAAAGTGCCTGTAATTGTTTTCAGCAAATGTCCAGTAGGGAAAAGCCTTTTTATGCTAAGTGACCTATGAGTCCAATTTCAGGCCGTCTACCAGTGGTATCTTCCAGTGAACAACCTGGTAGGTCAAATAATGAGAATTCTTTGGGAATGAGGCTTTGAAATAGCTCTAGCCCATTTTAGTCCTCCATCTCTTTTTAAGGTTTTTAAGGCTGCTTCAGAGGGGGAGAGCAGGGGATGGGAATAAGGCAAGTTGACACATTATGGACATTATAGTGTTAATGTTCTTTCTGAGATTCAATATTTTCTCTTGACTAAATCTGTGTTGCCCTAGATGGTTGGGCTCAGTGGATAGAGCATAGGCCTGTGGACTAAAGGGTCCCAGGTTCGATTCCAGTCAAAGGCACATGTCCAGGTTGCGGGCTTAGTCCCCAGTAGGGGGCGTGCAGGAGGCAGCCAATCCAATTGATGTTTCTCATCATTGATGCTTCTATCTCTCCCTCACCTTTCCTCTCTCTGAAATCAATAAAAATATACTTAAAAAAAAATCCGTGTTGCTACATGCCTTTGATTAATTTTCAGAATTCCGAAAAAGTTACTTCTGACAATTTTCCTGTTGCTTTTATGAAAGAGAATTTTGAGAAGTCCTTATACCACCGGTTTTGCTGGTTATAATTCATGTATTTTGATGCTGTCTTTTGTATGTGTGTGTTTTTTTCTCAAACGTGTGCATATTATATAAAAATGTGTGTAAATTGGGGTTGCAGGAGGCCATGTGGAGCAGGCACCAAGTGAAGGGCTGTGGATTGACCGGAATGATGCCAGCCTCTGTGAGAAGGGCCTGCGGACTTACAGGGTATCAGCTCTATTGGGGGTCAGGAACTCTACCCTACCATCCCTGCTGCTTTGTGTCTCCCAGGTGAAGGCTGCCAGGGGCCTAGCCGTGCTCACATGGATGGGACAGAGACCCGACAGCGGAGGCCGGAGGAGCTAGGGCTGCCACCCGCCCTCAGCACAGGAAGACTCCCTGCAGCCTCAGAAGATGGACCTCTGACTTTCCCTGAGAGCCAAAGGGTGACCTCTAAACTACTGGGGACTGAACTCAGCAAGGAGACTGCCCTATCCATTGGCTTCCAGGTGACAGTGCCCTTCATGTTTGCAGGCCTGGGACTGTCAGGGGCTGGCATACTTTTGAACTATTTCCAGGTAAGTGGGAACCAAATGGGGATGATGGTGTTGGGGGACTGCCTAATGTCACCCTAAGAGGAGGCAGCTACATGTTGGGCCCAGCTTGAGGAACATAGGGTAGGGCCTCTTCCTCTGAAATACAACTTTCCTACAAATTGGTAAAGGTTCTTTTAGTTACTAGTGACAGGGACTAACATACCCTAGGTTAAGCAGGCTCTGGACCAGGAAGGAGAGGGGGAGCAAAAGGGAAAGGGGAAGAGGAAGGGGAGGAAGGGGAAGGCAGGGGCATGCTCCCAAGAGGAAGAGCGCCCCTTTCCCCCCTTAATTTTAAATGAATTAAAACGAGCTGTGAAACTGTTATTCTCCGGAGCATGATATCCGCTGTGGTTCTGAAAGCCTCTTCTTTACTTAATTGGTGAGAGAGGGATTCCTGCCCTAGTGTTATGGGGTTGGCTGGACCCATGACCCCAGCACTGGACAGATGAGATCACTGAGTTGATCAGTCACAGTACTCACAGCCTGGGGGAGAAGGACACTGCCTACCACTCAGGGCCACACGGGTTATGCTTGGGAGCCGAGCAAATTGCCAGGGGCTGTGGGAGGCAGGCCTGTGTAGTAACAATAGGGTGAGGTGCCCACTGGTTCTGTGGGAGGGTGAGATTAGCCTGTTTGGATAATCTCATGGGCTGGCAGGAACTAAAACCCACTTCAGGGATAATTGGGAACTGTGCCTGGTCCCCCTGATAAGAAGCATTGCTTAGCTAGGGGACCTTATCCGCTGGAGCAGAGAGGGGAGGGGTAGTTGCAGTGAGGCCATGGTTTTACCAGATGTCAAGGCAGAAAATCATAATAATTTTAGGCTTGGCACCACTCAACCGCATGAAAGGCTGACTGGCTTTCTTTTTCTCTTTGTTTCTACGATTCTGTTTATTTGTTTATTCATTTAATCATTCATTCACTCATTCATGCAACATGAGTGTGTGTGTCATGGGCCAGCACTGAGCTGGATGACGCCAGGGTGGACACGACAGCCAGGCCCTGCTCTCATGGCCGTCAAAATCGAGTGGGGAGCCCTAGCCGTTTTGGCACAGTGGCTAGAGCATCAGCCTGTGGACCAAAGGGTCCCGGGTTCGATTCTGGACAAGGGCACATACCTCGGTTGCAGGCTCCTCCCAGCCCAGGCCTTGATCAGGGCCTGTGCAGAAGGCAGCCAATCGATGACAGACAGTAGATGCATAAGTCCATGTTAGGTGGCAGTAGGGGCTGTGATGAAAATGGAGCTGGGTGGTAGGCTTCTGGGGAGTCCGAGAAGGACTCTCTGAGGAGGAGATGCTGGGATGAGGCTTGAGTGACCTGAAGGAGCTGCTTGGAGAAGCTTCATGAGAGTAAGCTGGGCAGGGCTGGGAGCGAGCGACTCAGTCCACTTTTACTTGTGGGTGGGCCTGCCAGCCACAGAAGCAGAAAATAAAGAACCTTTCCTGTTATTGAAAATGTAATTGGCTTGATTTCTGAGGACCTAACAGGATGGGAAAGAATTCAGGCCATTTGGCTCAGAATCAGCCAAGGCTCAAGGTGACCCACAAAAGGAATAGGAGGCCGTTTGGAAGGTATACTCCTGGGAATTCCCAGTTCTCACTGAAGAATAAGAAGTGAAAGCTAGGAATGGCCATATGCATCCCAAAGCCCTCTGCCTGCCCTCGGCACCTCCTAACTGTCCTGCAATGACTCACGCCCTAAAAATCAAGGGGTGTTGGCATAGAGGAGTGGTTCTGATGCCACAGGCCTGGGGATCTGATTCACTGGTCTGCCCTGAGGTGGGGCTGCACATTTTAGGGGCTCCCCGGTAGTTCTGATGGCCTTGTGGACGGAAAACCACTGATGCAGTCCCGCCCTCATGCTGGAAGCTGAGTGGTTAGAGGCCCACAAGGGCAGGGACTTGTTACAGGTCACCCAGAAACCCACCTGATGCTTGACCCAGATTCCACCGCTACCTGGTACAGCCCTGGAATCCAACTGAAGCTCTTGGGAGATTTTCCACTGTGCTACTGAACTATTTTTAAAATCACATTCTTGATTGTGTTTTTTTTTATTATGACCCAATAAACTGTGTTGACATATTTTGTTCTCAAGTTTCAAAGAAAGTAATTTTTCCTCACATAATGGCATCTTTTATTTATTTTTGGTGACAGTTGATGGTTATAAAAGCAAATACTCACAATAGAATATACAGCAAATTATAAAATAAAGGTCACTTATAATTATGCCGCTCAAGCATAACCACTTTGAGCACCTTGGTATATATCTTTCTGAACTTTTTACTGTTTGTATGTCTGTGTGTGAGTGTATTTATCTTAATTTCTCACTTGATTTTTTAAAAATGAGAAACAATTTTGTAATGATTTATAACTTGCTTAATCAGGAATCTCTATATGAAATTGTACAAGTGATTATCTATTTCCATATCTTCTGTCCTGATGAGAATGGGTCATGGTCTTGCTGTGTGTGTTGACATTGTATTATGATGTCTGAACACATTCAAAACCATAAAGAAATTGCAGGAGTTGCCAAGGTCAGAAGAAAGTGATTGCTGTTGGGGCCTCTGCAGCGGTGTGCCTTGGGAGTGGTGTGGTCGGTGTTGCAGGCCAGCTGAGAGGGGCTTTGTTTTAAACCGGTTAGCTCCCTTAAACCAGTTAACTTTGGCACCTGTTTTCTCAGAAACACACCATTAATCTCAGCCTCCGACGGGTACAGGCGGAAGGGTCAG